TATTCCTTAAAATTTAAATAAATCCCTTATACAAACACACCTATAACGAAATCACATAATTAAATCTCAAATAAATAAACTCAACCAATAAAAGATTAGTAACTACCCATTCTCAATTAAACAAATAATAATAATAATAAAATAATTAAAAAATTAAAAATAATAATAAATAAAATATGATGTGATGATTGATGCGAAAGTAGTTATTTTAAATTTAAATTTGGAAATCGATTTCTAGGACATCATCCCTCAAGGACATTTACATTTGGTGAATGATAACAATGCCTCGGCAATGTAGTTCTAAAAAGAAAAACATATCGTATTCTCTCGGATGTAAGCACCGTCTGAATATAATCAACACATTAAAACGGTGGGGGCTTGTATTCTCAAAAGTATTTTTTTACCAACCAAATTGTTTAACTCTACTATTATTAGTTTAGAACATGTTATTTATTTTTTGCTGTGTGAAGAATAATAGATTTTTATTTATATATATTCATTATATGGGAAAAAAAATCATAATTAATTAGATTAAATGAATAACAAAATAGAATGGCAGGTTATTCTTCAAATAATAATATTAATAGAAATCGCGTATTAATATACTATAAAAATAGAATCTCAAAATCACTGGTCATTTATAGAACATAAATCTTCTTTGAGTATATTAATATTTTCTTTTTTGCTTATTCTATTTACCCCAAACCTTATTATTATTGTTCCTAAAATGTATACTACAAAATAAAGCTCTTTTGCCAAGACTTTTTTTTTTTTCAAAATGAAATATCTGCATAAATTTAGCCAATCATTTTTTAGAAATTCTTTAAACATGAATTCAAACGACTTAACCGTTTGGAAGTAACTTTTTTAAAATAAAATGATTTGGCGGCACTTTTACTTGAGAAAGAAGTAAAGGGTTGATTTTTTTGTGAATATTGAAACACGCTACTACAGTGCAGATCACATGATATTTCAATTTTTTTTAATAATGATTGAAAAAATTCACATATTAATATATACAATTAGAGCTTGGATCCGGATATTAAAACGGATATCCGGATACTTATCCGTTTAAATTATTATTATAGAAATCCGGATATCATATTCATTTGTATTATTGTGATAGAAAAACGGGTTTATCGAAACACCGTCCAATCATATGATGGCATGTGACATAGCCTTTTTCGTTATCTTTTTTCTTTTTTTTTTGTTAATATTAATATTATTAATTAGTTAGTGGGACAAAAATAATTTAATTTTGACCGAGTAAAAATATATCTTTCTTGTTTAAGAACAAAAATAAATCAAAGAATTAAAAAAGTAAAATAATTTAATTAGTATTAGATCAACCAAATATTATTATTATTATATATACTAATACTAATGTGGATATTAATATAATAGAAATCCGTTTCTCACTATACGGATATCCGGATATCCGTTTATCAAAATCTTTCATTCGGATATCCTATCCGTTCATCAAAACCCTATCTGGATATCCTATCCGTTCATCAAATCTCTATCCGGATATCCGCGTATATCCTAAGGATTTTACTATCCGGATCCGAGCTCTATATACAATATATGCAATAATTTTTGTGCTATCATATTTTTGAAGTAGTATATGACCAAATTTAATAACAGTTTTCTTTTAATGTAGTAGTTGAGACAGTATTCAACGCGTGATTTTATCAGAGTTGATGTCGAAAGGAATCTTTTTAAAAGTTGAAATAAATTTCTGTACCATTTCTACCCGACACGGGATGCAAGGTAATATCGTCAAATAACATTAGTTATAGATAGTGAAGAACCATCATCTGTTCTGACAAAACTTCATTTTAAAATGGACCACGATGACAAAAATAAATTTTCTAACATAGAGGCATACTGCAGGCAGGGGTGGACATTTATTTGGGGCATGCTGCAACAAAACCAGACAAAGTGAACATTGGTATTACTAAGGATTTCAGGGCCAATAATGTTTTGTTTGATATGATGTAATGTGATTATAGATGTTGGCCGAAATTGTCTTGGAAAAAATTAATTTCAGCAAACCATTTTGGATTTACAATACTTTTATATTAAAGGTCATCAAAAAAACTATCTAGCATTTTAGCTGGCTGACAATCATTTACTAAGAGAAGCAATTTCGGCTAACAACTATGCTTTGAATTGTATCAAATCTATGTTCGATTTATAATAAGTTGATTGAGTAAGAATTCGTTTTCTTCCAACAAGACCAGTTATCTGGCGAAATAACTAAATTCGTAAGATTAATAAATCTTACAATATGATTATTTAGTTGTACTAAAATAACGCATCATGACAAAAAAAAAATTATATATTAATATGTGATGTGAAAATATGGATATTTGAGATCATCTAGTAAAAAATAACATTTTATTTTTTGTCATATAACAAATGATTTTTAAAAATAGTGATTTGCAACAAATTTTTATTTAATTTTTTATTAATTGATTTAACAACAATTTTTTTAATATTAATATTATCATTTTAAAAACTATTCCATCTTCCATGAATTCTCCCTGACAAATCAAATATCTTTTGCATTAATTGTAACACATTCAACATTGATAGCACATAATGCCTGATCAATAATGAATAAGATGGTGTTTTTATTAATATTGTCATATTATTATAAAGAACATAATATTTTTAAATTATTAAAACTACACATACTTTAACAAATAATGAATAAGACATCTCACATAGCTTCCTCTTCACAGTGAATAGGGCATTTTAGACAATAATTTTTCTTTCGTGGTGGTTCGTTTTCATCAAAAAAATTATCATCTACACTAAATGATTGTAAAGGTGAAGAAGATGGAGATGGTGATGTCTATAATATAAATAAAAAGTTAAATACTATAATAATAATTTCTTATTAATATTTTATACTTACAGGTTTACTTTTACGATGTCTCCTTTTTAATACACGACCATAATTATAATTTATATCTTTTTTATTGCGAAGATTGTATCCTTGTGTCAAGGATGATGTCATTATTTTCCTTTTTTAGTAATTCGTTGTTGATCAGAAGAATTACCAGTATGTAGAAGCTTCTTCTATATTTTGAAAAGTTGATTCAACTTCTGGATTATTGTTATTACTAAAAAAAAAAAAAAAGTATAAGTTTATATTATTAATTATAATAAAAATATATAATAATTACTCATTTTCATCTAAATCCAAATGATTTATAGAATATGCATCAGAAATAGGAGATGAAGGTAATGATGTTCTCTCATTTTCATCTGTAGCAGCAGTAGTAATAGTGTTGGTGGTTACAATAAGTTCTGAATTGCCATTCTGAATAACATCATTATTCATATTATTATAATTATTCTTTTGTTGTATAAAATAAAGAATATAAATTTACAACAAATAAAAAAAAAGGAACATATAAGTAAAAAACTTGTCAGATCCTACTTCTTCATTTTTATTATATTTTAACTCGACATAATTATCTAGAATTTCTGACGCTCTAATTATGAAATCAGTTAAAGTTTCCAAGTGCTTCCTTTGCTTCACTTGTGGATATATTGTGATTTACGCTTAATTTATTGATAATTTTTTCTAATATTTCTTCCTAATTTTTCATGTCATGGAAAAAAAAATATCAAAGCCTCATTAAATGAAATAATCAGTTTGATATTTGAAAAGAATGTAATTTACTTACGGGTTGGACATATCTATTTTTTCAAGTATGGAAATTAACGTGATAGGAATGTTTTATTAATTTCAACTAGAGTAACAATGAGTATCGGGCGATAACCACCACCACCATCCTTAAAACACTTACCTGGCAAATTATTCTTCTTGGATTTGTTTTCTTTTTCTGTCTGCTCTACCAGACATTTTTAATTTTTTGCTAGAAATTAAAAATTTTGTTACACACTAATTATTTATCCTGTTGATAAATTTCATAGGTAATCCTTTCTTTTCTTAGATAAGCTTCTAGTGTTTGAGTATCATTTATTTTGAAAATATAAGGAGCAATTTTTTCACCCTGTTCCTTTTTTAAAATACTTCTAATGGTGCTGTAATTCTTGGGTTCCATGGTAGATCTGATGTAAATGAGTTTCATCTTAACTATTTTTATACAGGGATAGTTCTATATATCACTTAAGATAACAAATGGGATATTATAAAACTGTTAGTTATGATCACATTACAAATGACTAAATTTTGATCCCTGAAATCCTTAGTAATACCAATGTTCACTTTGTCTGGTTTTGTTGCAGCATGCCCCATTTGTATCATGTAATGTGTCCTTGCATTTTATTTTATTTTTATTTCCCTATTTCATAACTTTCTGATTTATCCATCCATACAGAATAATTGGAGTAATTAATCCAAAAGTATAAATTCAACAAGGGTTTAATTTCCTCCCTTCTGGCTTGTTTCACTTTGTCAATAGGATTTCATTTTAGATGATGAACTATTTTCTTTTGAGATTGCTTTTGGAATTCTTCTTCATTGTTAAAATATAAACCAATGAGTTTGGCAAATTTTTTCAGCATTCTTATTAATCAAAGGTTTGGTTATGTTGTCTACAAATAAAAGGCTTCAGGAATATCCTTCCTATAGTTTCTTCAGACTTTATGGTTTCACCAATCATCTTCTTATAATAAGAATATCATTTAATTCTTCAAACTAACAGGGGGTAATCAGCTGCACCATAATAAATCTTCTAATTTCCTCAAATGCTAAAACATGACTTCCTTCTACAACGATGATTGATTTGGCCTCCACCCTCTCATGTCATACATTTCACTTTGCTGAATATGAATCAGTCACTGTATCATGTTTCGAGTTTTTTTTTCCTGCAAGAAGTTCTTTTATACCTACAGTCAAAACTTTTTGAATCTACACTATTTGGTTTGGCAAATAAACCAAAGTAAAATCTTCTTCATTCATCTTTGGATAGAACAGACAAAAATGTCCTTTAAGTGAGATTGTCTTTCCTTTGTTATGTTTCTCTACAAGGTTTGTTTTGCCGGGACAACTGGGGCCAGCCATTAACATTGGTTTTTTGTTCATTAGCATATTAATTTTAGATCATCCATTTCTATAGTTGGTAATCATATATAGTAGATCTTTTAAACCTACTTGGTTTTGCATAAGCATCGGTGGGATAAGGTTTCTTCTATTCCAACAATACAAGTCAAACGAACCAAATAATTCGAATAATAAGAACTACAGCAAGATTAACAACTAAATCGTTGTTTAAAAACTATAACCTTTTAACTTTTTTACTTTTATAATTTCTTTAATGTCCAGTTTATTAGTCAATCTTGACAAAAGAAACACAAACAAATAAGGAATAATACTACATAAAAAACCATGCGTTCTTTTGTTAATTGGTGCAAACTTGGAATGAACAAAAGGAAAATTTATAATTATGAATGATGATAAATTTATTATTTTATTATCCATTTGTTGTTTAACAATTAAAATATATTTCAATACCCATCTCTTGATTTTTTTTTCTCTGAAGTTGGAAATGTTTTAAATTTACCTCTATCAGCTATATATATATATATCTTTACTTTTTTTTTTAGATATCTCCGTAGGGATTTGACAAACTGTGATTTAGATTTTTTTTTTTTTGTAAAATGGAATCTGAATCTTGCCTAATGGTACTTTCCTAATTGTAGGCACAAATATTCGATCCATATAATAAGTACCAAGGTTGGCAATAGACTGAGTCTATTTGAGACCAAAGAGTTTTGGTCTGGACCGTTGCCATTAATAAAATACTAAATATGGTTACCAACCCTTATAAGCACACAAATATTTACCATACATTCTATCTGATGCACCTTTACCAAGTTTGGTTGACTTCCAGTGGTCTTCTATGATGTAACAGATGGAATGGCGCATGCGACACATTTGTAAATTCAAAAAAATGTTTATCTTTCTCTCTAGCTGATATTCTTTGTGAAAAATCTCATCGTAATAATCAAATGCAATGAATTTTAGTGTTGCCGCAAGTGCATGAAGTGTAACACTATATTTAATGTTTTCATTTCTTTATGCATAATGTCTGTGCATTATTGATTCATTGATCGATCTTTTTAGTTAGTGTTCTTCATCGATCACGCCTGATAAAAGCGGTGGTACAACCTTGTTTGGATGATCTGCTAGCTATAAAATCATAGTAAATTATCTGTAAAATTGCATTTTTTTTTACATTGGCTTTGTATTCAGGATCCAGACCGAAATCATCGTATTTTCTTTTGTTTAGAACAATCGATAAAAATGTTTTTTTTTTATAATCTTTTTGCGTTTCTGTAATATACTGTATATTGACAGATGACTTTTCTTCCTATAATACAAAATAGATATACTCAATCAAACAAATTGTGCTTATAATATATTTGTTTAATAATATGTACACACAATTTGAACATCATTCTTTCAATTGATTATATAGTTTCGCTTATCTGGATCTAATTCTTAAAGTGGTTAGCCTCAGGCAAGCTAAGCAAAGCCGGCCATCACTTTGACGGAAGTTCGACCTTCACTTAAAACCTCTCGGGTTTACGATAAGGATTAATCTTTGAAGTAAAACGGCCTCAAAAAAGGATAAGTGAAACTGGCCATCATTTTGACGGGTGTCCAGTTTTCACTTAAAATTTACCATAAAAATTAAGTTTTTAAAGCATGCCTCAAGCAAACTTTGCCATCGATAATATAACAAGCGTTCCTTTCTTATTGTTATCTCCATCATTTTGATAAACTAAATAATAATAATAACAACAAATATAACAATGCAATTTACCTCTTTAATTTTTGATCTTTCATTGGGTTTGAGTTTCAAGTATTGTCCTAACAAAACAGTACAAGAGGTTGATATAGCAGATTTCCTTTGTTCAGTGTGTGGAAACTTTGTTTCCAGTATATAGGTTGTATACTACATGCCAGAGAGTTGGTACATAGCATTCCTTATTATTATTTTTTCATTGGTTAAGTAAGAGATAGGTACCCCCCAGAGATGTTCAACAGCTGCACCCATAAAAGCAGAAATTAATTCATTGTGGGATTTCTTTCTCTTATCAAGAAATCAATTACAATATCCCTTCAGAAATTTTCTGTTTTGGTTGTGGAATTTTTCCTGCTCCACAAAAAAAACATAAATCATGTAGACTACTAATAATAATCCCAAACAGAAAATATTTTACCTATATCAAACAGACTAATGTCACATATATATGATCTATTCTTATGCAGAAACTTCTTAATATTAAGAACTTCTTATTTCCCACACTTCATATGACTAACTTTTGCTTGTGAAAAAAAAAAATGAGAAGTTACATCACTGCTGCATCTAATTTACACTCTTAAATTCGAATTGAGAGACTGATTTCACATTCACAATTTTCGTTTGGTTTAGTTTTTACGTTTGTACTGAAAAAAAAAAACCCCCTCAAATCAACATTTAATAATGTGCCGTAAAAGTTTTGAGTGAATTTGTTGCATACAAATAAATTTTAGTGATATTTTTTATTAAATAAATAATAAAATATTTTATATAATAGTAAATAATAATAGTAATACTATTAATATGAAAGTCTTCCGTTATATATACGTTATAGAAAATTTTAAATAGTGACAAAATTTTAATTAGTTTCGAGTCCTTCACCCGAGTGGCCATTGTCATGACCCGGCCAGACTTTGTCTCAAAGCTGAAGAATGACTTGATATATATACTCGGTTTCAAATAACGGACATTCAACGCTCATTAAAAATATTATCAGTTGTAGATTATTTGTAGCGAAATTGAAAATTTCAAGTGAAGATAATTCGAGCAGCAAATAATTAATTGGAAACAAAAAGACCACAAAGACAAGTGATGAGAAATAAGTAACAAAAAACCACTCTAACAACCAATCAAATGGATCAAGAGCAAGATTGGAAACATTAATACAGACCCGATATTAATGTAATGTTGTTTGACGAAATGTTGTAAAACTATCGCGTCAAATTCGCTGCCATCAAGTCAAAAACGACGCAAGTAAAATCGGTCCGTTTACTTCATCGACAATCACTTCGTCGTCAGCTCATTTCATCGACGCACATTTCGTCGACAGTTAGTTTACATGTAATGATATTGTCATTGACTATTTTGGTGATTATAATAATTGATGATAATTATTGTTTTTAATAGTGTGAATTGGACAATTGACATTTCGTTTGAATCAAATATTTTCAAGATGCATGAAATTCATTCATTAATATGCTTATTTTTTTCTTTCTATCTAAATTTCCGAAATCATGATTCCTAGATTAGCAACTAAACAAATGCGTATGTTACGCTAAAATCATATGAACCGTCGACGAAGTGATAATGGAAATTTTTATAATTGATTAGGTTGCTTTGCAATAATAACCCCATCTTTATCTTTATTCTTATTGCAGCGACGAAAATTTCAATAAGGATAAATCTAGTCTTCGCTTGAAAAAGCATAACTTCAGGTCCTCGCAGAGGAAATAATAGATGATTAACAAAACTCTATGATAGAATCATTATTTTTAAATAAAATTAGTTGTTAACAAACCTTTAAAATAAAACATTGTCTTTATTTCCTCTGTTTGATAAAAGCAACAAGCATAGTTATAGTTAGTGCCTTGGTAAAAGGTCACATTTGTTTGCTTTAATGAGCAAACAAGCAAGATTAGGACTGACGCTGATTAGCTAGTGAGTGTTAACAATGATTAGTAACGTAATTCGCTTTAGTGATTAAGCAAAGGTTTGGACTAACGTTGGTTAAATGAAGCATCCACCAAAGGTTAATCCGAAATACTGGTAATATCATTGTAACTGTACATGGTTATTGAATAAGCTACTTTGTTGTTTTGCAAGTAAACCAAAGCGAGTTTGCAATCGGCCAATAAATATAAACAAATAAATCAATGAATAAAAGGAACTTTATGGCATCGCAAAAAGGCAATCTTCATTTATTTACAGTTATCTGGTACCATCAAGTGTGCACACAGATTCGTCTAGGTACAGTAATCGAGAACCAAAGTAAATTTGTAAGCTAATTTTAATTGATAAGCACCGAATTATTTGCAATTAACTGACAAGAGTAGCCCAAAAGTTAAGCCATCATTATTAATTAACTGGAATGATATTTCGCAATATCATCATCATTTAACAAGGATCAAAAAAACTGTAAAAAGTTTATTATTATTATTTAGCTTTAAAAAATAAAATAAAGATAAAATAAAAGATAAATTTATAGTAGAGATTAAATTCATCAATTCTTTCTTTTATTATTATTACTAAATTTAATTCATTAATTAATATTGTTAGTAATAATTATAGATAGTAATTTCCAATTGATTAATAATGAAAGTTTTATTCACCTTTTGTTAACATTCTAGAGAAAAGGGTTATAACCAAGATCATTTAACAAACTATCATTACTTTTTAAACTTTTAGATTTGGCGATCTCTTCATCTAATATTCTACTTGTATGATATGCATTTGGATGTGGTTTGTATGCTTGTTGAGAACCATTACTACTACTGTTACTAGTAGTATGATTACCATTATTATTTTTAATAATTTCTTCAAGTTTGTTATTAGCAAAAATAAAAAGCTCTCTACTAGTTAGTCTTTTTGATGGATCCACATCCCAACATCTCTGCATCATTTGCACATAATCACCAGGCATTTCAGATAATATTGGTGGTCGTAAACCTTCACATATATCAAAAATCAAACAATGATTGTGAGCTCTATCATCAAATGGTGGACAACCTGCAAATATTTCCCACATTAACATCTCAACACTATATATATCTGATTCTTTGGTGTTCTTTTTGCCTCCAAGTAGCTCGGGTGCAACATATGATACAATTCCATAGACTTTATTTAATGACTTTTCATC